AAAGGTTCCTTCTCCGGAAAGTTTTTAAAAAAACCTGAAGAAGAATCCAGTTAGAGATCCAGAAAAACCAGAACAGAGCCGTTCGCTTCAGAGGAAACCTGAGGAAAGAAGGTTAGGGTTGTAGAGGAGCTGCTGCTGGACAGGAAACTGCAGAAGAAGAAATTCTTCTAAATCAGCCCAACAGCTGCGAGGACACAGAGAGGAAGAAACTGGAACTGCAACTCTTCATTTTAGTCTTTGGCAAACAGAACATTTTAGATTCTGAAAATCTAATTCACCAAAAAGTCTCAACTTTTCCAGTTTTGAGGTAAATCTAAGACAATGATCAGTTGTCTCAATGCAGGTTGCATCAGCCCAGATACGTAATCTAATAATATCTACTGTGTTGTATTTATAAGCTACACCGAACAAAAATATAAAGCCCCGTGTCAAATGCAATATATAGAGAAACTCAAACTGTATTTTCAGTAATTACTGATCTTCATATCGGCATTGATATCATCGTGGTTCGGCCGTTTGTAGCAGATTAACAGTCATGATCGGGGTCAGGATGAGGAGTCTGATTCTGACCCAGTCGGCTTCCCGTAGCGGTCACAGACAGTCTGATGCGTCTGTTGTTCAGACCGATCAGCTGTGTGTCGCTGGTCTGAGCCGATCCTCCGATGGACGATCTGGAGGCGGTCAGACGAGGATGAGGAGGAGCTGCAGTCTGTTGGAAACCAGCTCTGAAACGGCCGGCGGTCCGATACCGGAGCTGCTGCTCTGCTGGACGTCCTGCATCCAACACGCCAACGGCTCCACAGAACATCTGAGGCTTTATGACTGGAGACATCATGTGACGTGTTGGGGCCTTTTATTGTCCAGTTGTTTTCATCTACCCAGTGGACATGTCCCACAATGCACTGAGTAAATAACTGAGTGATGCTCACTGACAGCAAACTGGACTAAACATTATACACAAACCAAGAGAAATATTAGTTTTGAACAATGAAATGTTTGCAAATGCTTATTTACAATTAACTCCACATGGCAACAATATCTGACGGGCCTTTATATTTTTGCTCAGTGTATTTTCTTGCTGAAAAAGTTAGTCATCAGGGTTCTACAGAACCTTGACCTGGTATGGAAAAAATATGTTTGAAATATTGAATCACAGTCAGAGAAACTTTAGTAATAATCTAGAAAACTCATAAAAATACTATCACTAGTAGTGTTACTGCTACAACTACTACTAGTAATAATGTTACTACTAGTAATGACTAACAATGGCAGAACCTGTAAACCACCCTGTCAATGTTTCCTCTGCATTTCTGCTCCCATGTCCTTCATCTCCTCCTCCTCTTCCTCGGCTCTTTCTTTCTCATCGTGAATCACTGGCTTCACTTCACCAGGCAGCTGTGAAGTTCAGATCAGAGGAAATTTGAGGTGGAATAATTCTAACCTTCTTCTTCTTCTTCTTCTTCTTCTTCTTCTGTTTGCTTCCTGCAGCCGGAGGAGGACTTGGCTGGTGATGAACATTAACCCCGTCAGTTTCATGGTTCTTTGATATAATCCTCGTTAATCTACAGATATTTATAAATGTTGAAATCTGAATATTAAATGGAGATCAGATTTCCATGCATGCAAAACAAACATTTTTACTTCCATCTTATTTTTTCTAAACTCTCTCTGCTTTTTACTTTTGGTTTATAATCATTTGTCGTTAATTTAAACCCAGTGGAGAAGAGTCAACTCTAGACTTATTTTTATGTAAATTCATCATGATGTTGCTTTAAAGTATTAGATGTTAATGTCAGGATCTCCACACGGTCGTATTGGATCGAAACGTTAACCTTCTTGTGAAACTGACTCCGTCATCAGTTTGTGTTCAAAGTTTAATAAAAATATGTGAAACTTGTTTTCTTCTATCAAGCATTTTGTCATCCCATAATCCATAAAGTCTTGAAGCTCCTCCAGCTCCAGAACTCTGAGCAGGTTCTGCTGAGATCTCTGAAGGTCCCAGCAAAGCATTTCAGTTTGGATGACGGCTGGACTTTGACTAGACCAGGGGTGCTCAAGTCCAGTCCTCCAGAGCTGCCATCCTACAACTTCCAGATGCATCCCTGCTCCAACACACCTGAATCCAAAGAACGGCTCGTTAGCAGGCCTGTTCAGTCTGAACCCGGTCTGTTGGGGTCAGGATGCTTCTAAACGTTGCAGGACGGTGTTGCAACATCTTGGTTCTTTTTTCGGTAACACTTTATTTGAAGGGGGTTGAATAAGACCGACATAACACTGTCATGAACATGTCATAACACCTGTCATGAACATGTCATAACACCTGTCACGAACATGTCATAACACCTGTCACGAACATGACATAACACCTGTCACGAACATGACATAACACCTGTCACGAACATGACATAACAC